CAAGATGCATTGGATTACAGTACTCAATTGCAGTGGCCGCCCTTGTTATACGCTGTTGCATTTTTACACACTGTAGTACAAGAAAGAAGAAAATTTGGACCGCTTGGTTGGAATATACCTTATGAATTTAATCAAGCAGATTTTGCAGCATCAGTTCAGTTCATACAGAATCACTTGGATGATATGGATCCTAAAAAGGGTGTTTCCTGGCCGACAGTCTGCTATATGCTTGGAGAGGTGTTTTCAATCTTTTTTTTACTTTCATTAAATAAATATAAATCTAACGTTATATTATATTTTTTATAAAATAATTGAACAAAAGAGCAAATAAGACAGAGATACTGTAGTTGGTGATCATAAATTACAGAAAATGTCAAAATATTTTATATTTACTTTCATATCTTTACATGTTTAGGTCCAATATGGCGGTAGAGTTACAGACGATTTTGACAAACGTTTATTAACTACTTTCACCTATGTCTGGTTTTGCGACGTGTTGTTACGACCCGGCTTTGAATTTTATCGAGGATATAGAGTACCTCAGACCAGAAATCTTCAAGGATATCTAGACTACATTGATAGTTTACCTGCGACCGACACACCAGAAGTCTTTGGACTACATCCAAACGCCGATATTACTTATCAGATTAATACAGCAAAAGGAATACTTGATACAATTCTTAATGTACAGCCAAAAGAGGGTAGTACACAGGGAGGTGAAACTAGAGAGAACGTCGTGTATAAATTAGCCAATGATATGCTATCTAAATTGCCCAAGCAGTACAATTCCTTTGAAGTAAAAGAAGCGCTTCAAAGAATGGGTCCATTATTGCCTATGAACATTTTTCTAAGACAAGAAATAGACCGGTAATATTCCTTTTCGTCTATCATAAAATGAGTTTAAATATATTATGAAATATTATTATATGTTTTATATAGTAAATATAAAGTACATAAAAAAGATAAGACAAATCATAACTCTTTTTAATTTTTTTAATTATGATTCTTTTTAGAATTTCGCGAGTTATTAAAGAAGTACAAAGTACTTTAACGGATTTAAAGCTGGCCATCGAAGGTACCATAATAATGAGTCAAGGCTTACGAAAATCATTAGATGCGATGTATGACGCACGCATCCCAGATAAATGGTTAAAAATATCTTGGGAATCGGCAACTTTAGGTTTCTGGTATACGGAGCTTTTAGAAAGAGACCATCAGTTCAGACAATGGTGCATTCATGGTCGTCCAAGAGTATTTTGGATGACCGGATTTTTTAATCCACAAGGATTTTTAACGGCTATGAGACAGGTAAGCATTAAAAATTGTAATGTTAATAAATTTTCGTCCTTTCTTTGTGGTCCCTTAAAATCTTTTAAAATATTTAGAACACCCTGCATCCGGTAAATTTTAACAAAGTGCTTATGTGTAGATAGAGCGGACTAAATTGACTCGAAAAGTTTAATTGCAATTTAATTTCATTGCAATAACTAGTTTCGTCTTTTATTATTTAAGTTGTCTTAACTTCAATTAAATAAATGAATTTTAGGAAGTAACCAGAGCGCATAAGGGTTGGGCTTTAGATTCCGTAGTTTTGCAAAACGTGATTACGCGTTATAATAAAGAAGACATTAAAAATCAGCCTCAGGAAGGGGTTTACGTTCACGGTTTATTTCTGGAAGGAGCGTCGCTTGATAGAAAGGCTGGCAAACTCGTTGAGAGTAGACCAAAAGTTCTTTACGAACAAATGCCGGTTATTTATATTTTTGCAATAAATACAACCGCTGGTAAAGATCCAAAATTATATGAATGTCCTATATATAGGAAGCCTCAAAGAACAGACGCGAAATATGTGGGTTCTATCGACTTTGAAACAGATTATAATCCCCGACACTGGACACTTCGAGGTGTAGCATTATTATGTGATATTAAATAAAATATTAAACAAGATGTGTGTGTAATAACTAAAGAGAGACGCTTCAATAAATTATTTAAAATTATATTTAAATTATATATATATAATATTTTGTGTAGTATTCTTATATTGATATCTGTCAAATCAAACAATAAAAAATTAATATTAAGTTTAGTTACATGTTCAATAAAAATTAAATTAATGTTATTAAATGTTTATATAAATGTTTATTTCATATTCAATATAAACCTCATGTTTTTAAATAATTAGAAAGTATACAAAAATATACATTTTTTAATAAAATAAATCACAATGATTCGGATATATCCATGTAAGATTGTAACTTAAGAATATAACTACAAAATAAGATATATTGAATTCAACTGTTCACATACACATACGCACACGCACGCACACACGCGCGCGCGCGCGCGCACACGCACACGCGCACACACACACACACACACGCACGCACGCACACACGCACGCACACACACACGCACACACACACACACACACACATATGTATACATATATTTATCCTATATTATTGACGCTATATAAATCAATCACAAAAAATAACAGCCTTTTGCACGATAAGATTATGCCATAAAAATATAAAAACGAAAATATTTTCTACTTTCAAAATTTAAGATAATTCATAATAAAATATGATTTTTTTGTAATTTTACATATAACTCAAATCAATTTAAAAATAAAAAAATTTTATAAAAATAAAAAAAACATTTTATATAATAAACAAAATTATAATGTAAAATTAAAATTTATTTGTATGTGTCAATCTAAAAACTTATGTCTTTATGTGAAATTGTGTAAGATTGACGCATAAGATCGGAAAAAAATTTTCATAAGCATTATCAATATCGTGTAAAATTTGATTTATATTTCTAATCTTAACAATCTTAACAATCTACGATAAAAGTAATTTAATAGATTTTATGATTCGGGATAATGCTTCCCAAGAAGCTTCCAACTTATTCCTGCCCATACCAAACTGTGTGAGAAGAGGACACGTATTAAGCTGTATTGATTTTATACAATATTTATCTGAAGTAATATCATTCATATTAATTGTTATATCAATCTCTGACAGTATAGTTTCTAATAGAGATATCTTTTCCATTATACTATCTTCGGTAATGTAATCATCAATGTCAATCATTTCATTGGGGAAGATACATTCCAATTGTTCTAATATTTTATCACGCTTATCTGTCTCCAAGGAATCTCTCCAGTAAATATGGTAATCTGCTAATTTAAGGCCCAAGTTAATCTTTCTCGATTTGATCAATGTGCGATAGCGTTCTTCTGCATTTTTATTCATTGTATCTGTATCAATAGTTGTAATAGAAGAGTTTGAAGAATCTTCTTTGTTTTTCGGTTTACAGAAATCATATAAATTATTCATAAGACCCTTTATTTTATCCACCATTCTTTTCGCTGCATCATGTTTTGCTTGCTTCTTTGTAGTTGCTATTCCATCTTCTTCAAAATTAGATACTTTACATCGAATGGTAAAAATTTTAGCATGTGGTGGTCCAACATCCTGGATAAGAAAATATTCTGGCTCATGTAAATTGTTCTCAGCACAAAGTTCCTGAAAAAACATGATAAATAAACCAATAGATACATGCGACTATAACAGTAATTATATAAATTTAAGATAATTACCTGCAATTCACCTACGGCGTTAACAAAAGGTATATTTGCTATCTTTGGTGGAAGAGGAACAGAATGAAATGGTGACTTTGGCGGAGATACTGTTGGTGTATTAGCAGCTGGTAACTGCGGATAATTTCTATGTGCAGCAATCTCTGTTAGCATAGCTTTAGCCGCTTCGTGTTTCGCATCTTTTTTACAACGACCTGTACCAGTTGCACTGAGACTGTCGCATGTAACTCGATATGTAAAAGTATTTACATGACGGCCTCCACCATCATGTATCAACTTATAATCAGGTGTCATACCTTGCTTTGCCATCATCTCTTGGAGGATGGAAACAGGTGTTTTACTCATGTTGATCGAATTAAAAGTTTGTTTTTTAATTTTCAATAATTTATTGCAGTCACTTATCCGTATCCAAACAAAAAATTACTCTGAAAATAGTAGTTATACTTACAGTTTTAATGAATTCACAACTTATAATATCAAATTTACACTAAAAATATTTGTGTTAGAAATAGTTTATATAAGTCCTTGTTTTAACATAACAAATTTTTTAACATATTTAAATATTATTTTAACATAATGCAATTATGTTGTTTAAATAGTTTGTGTTAAATTGATATCCAACATTTGTTATTGTTAAAATAATATTTTATGAATAAGTGAACAAATATTAAAATAATTTTTACAAATATAAATTCTAAGATGAATATAATATGTATTAACTTAACATAGAGAGAGCATAAATATCAATTGAAAAAATGTTTCTATAGTTTGTTTACATAAATTGTATTATATATATATATATAGTATATCCCTTTTTTATATTTAGTTTTTAAATTATATTTATGTTACCTTGTAACATATTTATTTTGTATTAAATTAACACATAAATTTGAATGGACTGTTTGGGATATTTATAATGTATTAAATTTTACACAAATGTTACAATGGTATATGGATGAAACACAAAAGATGCAGAATATTTGTAGTTACATAATTGTGTCTCATAACTTGTACTTTACATTTTACTTACAGATATTGCTTTAATTTTATAAAAAAAATCAATTACTTTAACCTTATCAAAACAGAGATCTGTTTATTTGGTTTTTATCTTTTCTCTTTCTCGTTAGAACATATATCCATTTTATTACAAATGTAGAAAAAAAAGAGTACAAGAAAATACAATCGCAAGCAAATGTAATAGCAAGGAAATAGTAACTTTGAAAAAAATCTCAAGATAAAATAAACAATACAGCATGTAAATTTATAAATCAATATTATATACAGGGTTGGCCATATTCGACGGAAAGATGTTTTTTTTCAATCATGGGAAAAAAACACATTTTTTGCTGTTCATTTTAAAAATCATTTAATAGGGTTCAAGGTCTTTCCGTCGAATATGGCCAATCCTGTATTAAAAAGGTTGTATTCCAAAAATTACTGCCAGTACTGAAAATCTAGTTTACATTACATGCATTATAGATTTTCAATACTGGCAATACATTTTGGAATACAGCCCATGTTGGATATATGTATATATATTTATACACATATATGATATACATAAATATATTATATGCATACAATAAGTAAGTCATAACCTTAACTATGCTCTCAATAATCAAGAAATGTATATTAAGGTTCATTTCATTTACATATTTTTTACATAAAAAATATAAAAATAATGTATTATATAATATAAAAATTTTAGTATATATGTATATATATATATATTTAAATATAAACAAAAATATAATTTGAATTTACTTTTAGTTTAGGAATGTTAATATGTTTGTATCACGTGTTTCTCGTACATACCTTTTTTAATATGAAGTGAAAGATGTAAAAATTGCTATAATGGTTTATTAATATCGTATAATGATTTGTCAGTATAGGTTTTCGACGAATAAATGTGAGTATAAAACTGCTGCAAAAATTAAGAAACAATTTATAGGAATCTAAAATCTACCGACAGAAACACATTACAAGTTTAGAGAAAAAGCAGCCATCCTGAGAGCAGCCATCGCGACCTTTTTCGTGCGATCTGATTCTTGGAAGTTCTTGTACACTAGCGACATCAACTATGTTAACTACGTATCATCTTACCGACACTACTAATTTTTAAGCGCAGAGAGCACAAACTCTTATATAACGTATAAAACATGAAGCATAAGAAAATCAAGATCAGAATCCTTTATTTTATGAAAAGAAAGGAAATAAAGGACTTTGATTGGTTTTCTTATGCATTATGTAAGGGATTCCACACTACTACTTTCTGACAAAGTGGACGTTGCTATCTAGTTTACATCAATTTTGTCAGAGGGTACTAGTGCGCAGCAGTATTTTGCGGTTATAGGTTTTGGGCCGTCATGTCCTCTCTCAGGTTTCTCTCTATATGTACGTATTAAGTTATATCCACACAAATTTACATAGCTGCGTAAACATATGCATAAAGAAAATTGTCCAATCATATTTCTTCTATAAAGACGCACATAAAATGTGATTGGATAATTTTCTTTATGCATACGTTTATGCGACTATGCAAGTTGTGTAGATATACCTTTAGAAATCATGTATTATGGAATACACAGTTTCTGATAGGTTGAAATTCTTATTCTCTGTTCTCTATTCCCTGTTCCTTTTATTGTGCGGAGCACCTTATTATTTAAGGTTAGATACTCCAATTCAATTATACACGATCAAATTAGTAATCACGTGTATATGTTTGAAAGCACAGTTGCGAATACTACTAAATAAATATTCGAATATATTATATTCGATATAAATATAATACTGTATGATTGTATTGAACATTTTATGATAATGATAAAATGGGAAGTTTAATAGGTATACGTTTCTGTGCTAATCGTCAGTTAAAAAATTACACAGTAATTTCAGCATTAAAACTAAGACAAAAATATATGCATCATTGTTCATCAAATAAAATGATATATTATCTTCAGAGCCAACGAAGACCTTTGCAAATCGTTCAGTGTTGTGATGTTTCAAATTTTTCTCTTTGCAATTTCAAAACGAATAATGTAAGAGATTTTTCTATTACCTCTGATCTATTGGCAAAAAGTAAAAATCGTGGCGAAAAGAAACAGAAGACACAACACATTGATTATAATGAATTTGAACAAGTTGTTGATGTTAATAAATTAATATCTCAACTGGATAATGCAATTGAAAAATTAAAAGATGATTTTATTCAACATTTGTCAGTAAGATCAAATGTAGGTGCCATTGACATGTTGTCTGTCAAATTTGATGGCAAAGATTTCACATTGCAAGAGCTTGCAAAGATCAGTCGTAAGCCTAAATTGATAGTGCTGAATGTATCTACTTTTCCACAAGCTATTCCAGATATTCTAAAAAGCCTTACAAAAAATCAAATGAAATTAAATCCACAACAAGATGGAACCACAATTTATGTTCCTATTCCTAAGTAAGTTTTTTAGAAGATAATATTCTCTACATTTATATTATTAATACTATTATCTTAATGAGAAAACAAATTTTCATTGTTTTGATTCAGATTAGTACAAAAATATATATATGTATATTTCTATATTACAGAGTAACAAAGGAGCAGAGAGAAATATTATCTAAAAATGCAAAAAGCTTTTATGTGAAATGTTGTGACAACGTTAGACAGGTACGCAATAAACAAATTAAGGCAGTAAAGCAAAAGGAAAAACTAGCTAAAGATCTAGTGTTCAGAATAGAAAGTTACATAGATATTCTTAGTCATCAATATACGAATAAAGCTGAACAAATGTTGGAAACTAAACAAAAAGAGTTATTAGGTGATTCTGAATAAATTTGACTTTAATAATTAGCAATTTTGAATTTGAATTATTACTTGCTTTTTTACTGTATATAAATGTATATAATTTAAGTATGTAATAAAAAGAAATATATACTCACTTTTATAATATATTTTATTATTCAGTACTTTTATACACATTATATACAAAGGATCCCATAAGTTTTGGCCAATCACTTTTGTATAAATAGAATAGACTAAACTGAGTCGAAAAGTCCTCTATCATTTTGCAATTTTCGCAATAGTTAACAAGATATTAATTACTAAAAATTGTCAAATATTGATCTTGAATAATTTGTTATTCAAATACTTACAGAAAAACTCAATTTTACAGAAAAACTGCAAGAAACAAAAATTATTTATTTTCTTTTCATAGAACTCTAAGAATTTTTTCAGATTTTTTTCAGAATTTTTTAAAACCGTATTTTCTCATGTTAAAATGTAAAAATTAGAAAATGCAATACTAAAAAATTGATAAAAAATTCTGAAAAAATTCTTAGAGTTCTATGAGAGAAAATAAATAATTTTTGTCTTTTGTAGTTTTTCTACATATATGTATGAGTGTATACATATGTACGATATATATACATATATGGATGAATATGTGGATATGTATATACATATGTATGTTTAATATATATCATATTTTTTGTGGTATGCGATATTTAGGATTACAATTGTTTAAAGAATCTGAATTAATAATAAAAATAGACGATAAAAAAAAGAACTTCAAAGAATTCTAGTCGAAAATAAAATTTATTGAAATATTCATTTATTTTATACAAGAATGTTTTCTTAGACATTACTTTGTACAGGCCTTTGTACCAAGATTTTTTCAGAGTTTCACAATAAAAATAGTAATTTGTGCATCATGAATTTGATTTACATTTGAGAATAATTGTACATCCCAATTATAGAAATTTATATCTTAAATACATAGATTACTTAAAAAAAAGTGTCTTCGTAACAATTATCCAAATAATATGAATTTTTTAATCAAAACTTTAGTGTGTCATATTTTTTAATTCATAGTTTTTAAAATACTTTTACTTAATTTGTAAATAAGTTATTATAATTATAAACTTACAACTTTTATGATTAATTAATGTATTACATCATGTAACATACATAATTATAATTTAAAAATAGACTATAATTACGTTAGCAATTCTATATACGAAATATTTATAAAAAATACATTTTTTATAGGAATTTTATAAACTACATTTTATATTTTATATATACACACACACACACACACACACACACACACACACACACACATATATACATGTATATTTTTATCTTATAATACTTCCTTTTTTATTTCCTTGTTTATAAAATCTAAGTCGATAACAATGATCTAAAATTACTGTATTTAACATAATTTTTATGAACTTTTTTCTAAATTTTAATTTGATTAAAAATAATTTGATTATGTTTTTGAGTTGTTCTTATTTATAATATCTTGTTCTTATTTATATTATCTTCTGTATATTTAACTTGATGTTTAATAACAGGATTGCCACAGACTTGGAAAATCGGGAAAAGTCAGGGAAAAATGTAAAAAAATCTGGAATTTTGAAATTTGCTCACAATTTCCTAAACTGCTCCTATTCTAGATAATTGTTATAATTTTTTAATATTATATCTGAATATATTTATAATGAGATACGTTCAAAACTCGCACATTTTAAACGATTTTAATAAAATAATTAAAATTTAGATTTTATTCAGTATTTTTATTTGGTCGCCGATATTTATTTTTCGTAACTGCATTCTTTTTTCTAATACTAATTTATTTTTTGTTAGTTCGAATTCGCATCTAAAATTTTAGTATGCTACTAACCTTCTTTGCGTTGTTTTTAATAATATAGGTTAATTTTTTTACAATTCTTTAAATTTGTTAAAATTTACATATTTTAAATTAGAAAATTTTTCATTTTCATCTGGAAAACCTGGGAAAGTCAGGGAATTCTAAAATTTATTTTCTGTGGCAACTATCAGTAAAAAGATACATTAAAAGTGCTTTACATAAAGTTTGTGTCGCAGTCTCCAAAACTTCTTTCGTGTGAAAACTTATACTTATACGTAAAAAATTCTTTGCTTTACCTGTATATGAAAAACGAGCACCTGGTATCGCTGATACTTTTTTTTTCTTTTGACACCATTTGATGAATTTTGTAGCATCTACATCTTTAAAAATAGCACATAATTTTATATAAAAAATGAAATAAATTAGTAAAAGTATATATATATGCATAATAAAAGTATAATTAAAAGTACAATATAAAAATTAATTGTATAATTATTTTAGAATTTTATATTCTGGCATAATTACTCAATTACTGTTTTATAATTACTTCAATATGGCTGCTTTATGACTATTATATTTTAAATATTATATAAGAAAAAATATTCGTTATACCCGAGGGAAGATGGATCCAAACGAAATAACCTCCTCCTGGTCGTCGATAAGAACAACAGTTTGGCAGAAATTGATTCAAAGTTGCACAAAGTGTATCTAATCGTTCCTATAAATTGACTCTTATTTATTTTATTTTTATTTAGCTTTTATAGTAAATAATAGCATAAAAGAATATAAAAACAATTTTATATTAAAAGAAATAATTGTAAAATTATGAGAGCATACGCAATCTATTTTTATGATTATGTTAATGAATTTTGTATAATTATCATTGCTTTAAGAAAGCGATATTGTACTTTTGGATAAAGATATTTATAGTATGAGCATGATGTAACACACCTTATAGATCTTTATAATCCTGTCAAGATACTCATCTTCGAGATTTTCATGAAGCATACTCGCAATTATTCCGGAAACGTAATGGTTAACTCCACCACCGCTGCACATTATGCCTCTAAAATAGTTAAAATCATACAATAAAACAGTTGTAATAATATTAGTTACAATATTTTAGCTAATTAATATAATTTACGTTAATGCATAAATAATATATCTACATAAAGTATTAATAATATTTAATGATTAACAGAGACTTTTATGTAAATTATTAATAAAAATGAATTTGACTCAATAAATAATTTATTTGTATAGTACTTTTTCTGAAAAAAAAAAATATATAAGATTCCTTACGATGTTTTTACAATATTCACTATACGCGCACTGCATTCGATCCAACCAAAGCGAATTGCTGGCGAAAGAATTTTAGAGAACGAACAATTTGATACAATGTTCCCTCCTTTATAGTTTGAATCTTGTGGATTATCGTAAGAAAATAATCGTCGTGGCGGAAATCCTTGCTCATAATAAAGCAAATTGTATACATCATCGCAGGCTACCACTATGGAATTGTTTCGTGCAATCTCCACTAAACGTTTGCACTGATCTACCAAGAAATAAAACAGAGAAAAATCTATGTTGTTAATGCATCAAAAACAATAGATTGTTATATATTTTAAAGTTATCAATTTTTGTTTTTTAAAAGAACAAAATTTCATTTATTGATTAAAAAAAACATAATGGAACCACAATATTTAAATTACCAGGCAACAATGTCATTCCGGTTGGATTATGAAAAATTGGTATTGTATAGAACATTGCCCAAAATATTTTTTGATCATTTAGAAAAAAGTTGCCTTTTGTCTTCTCTTCAATTATTATTTTTTCTAATTCATCTAGATCTACTATGTCATCCTTCATTGGCACTATATGAAATAAAAATAATAATAAAGAACTTTTTAATATTTATATAACATTCTAGGAATATTGTGTCTCTTATAGGAATATTCCATTTTTTATATATTAAGATATTAGGTATTATTTTTGTTTTACAAATATAGTCATACCTGTATAATATATCACATACCTGTAACTATTCGCATTAAGGGAAATTGTTTAAAAGCATCTAAAGCAATCATGTAAGTAACTTCTTCTACAAAAATAATACCATTTGGTGAGAGTATAGTATTCAATAATAGTTGAAGACCATGTGACGCTCCGCACGTTAATATTAAATGCTCTCTCATTACGGAATTTCCATATCGCCTGCTTAAAAATTTAGCTAATTCATCGCGACATTCCCAAAGACCCGCCGTAATACCATATTGAAAGAGATAGTATTTTCCTTCCTTTTTTTCTTCCTCCTATGGTGACATTTATTTCTATCAATATGAATATTTATAAAATATCAATAAATATTTTATTTAGAATAACTTATAAAATGTTCAATAAATGCAAACAACGATATTATATAATTATTAAATTAATTATATACACATATATATATATATATATTTTAAATCTATTCGATATTGCAAACGTTGTTTTATTAAAAAAGATTTCTATTCAAATATAATTTTCTGTAAGAATTTGTATTGTATAATTTCTCGTCACAATTTGTAACGTCATAATCTAAGAGTTAGCAGAAGTCTTCTTCTTCTTAAGAGTTAACAGAAGTCTTAAATATATTGTCTGACAAATGCAAATTTAATGAAAGCAATATTAAAATAATTGATTTTTACCAATCTGTGTTGCGTCGATTTATTCAGTATTTCTGCACAATGTTTTAACAGGTCAGGACCAGGTGCTCCGACCGACAAGTTTGTAGCCTCCTCATTGTAGACATTAAATATTGGGTCACCATCGAACAAGTGTCTCAAATATGGATCATGAATAGTATCCATGTCATCTGCTGAAGTTTTGATATCTGTCTTATTTTTTGTAATTGATATTATACATGTACTTAAAAAATGCTATACTATACATAATCACTGTGTGAACATTCTTACGTAAACGTTTGTTGAATGTGATTTGTTCGATTTGGTGGTTTTATTGTTCTTGTTGTTGTGTTTTATTCTCTCAGTTGTTAGTATTAATATCAATATGCGTATCAATTTGATATATATTTTTATTAGTCACATTGAAAACTGAGAATGTAAACATAAAAAATTTATTTAACTTAAAGGTTAAAATTACGATAAGCACTATGTCACTTGCCAGACTGACTAAGACTGAAGAATTGTAGATGACGTAATAACGTAATGACGTTCCTTACATGCATTCTCGTGCCTTTTCGTACAGTTTCGTATAATTTCACGCAATTGCATATTGTATTAATATCAAATGATAATGAATGTATTTCTTCTTTATGTATTTATAATATAATACAATATTAATATCAATTTTGATAGATTTGAATAATCTTTTTTAAAGTATTGTATATTTACATGTTATATTCTACTAATTATACTAATTATAAATCTACACATCAAGGAACCAGCAATATTGCAGCAAAGTTTAACATATTGTTGCAATTGAAATGTCCCTTTCTGAGTCAATGTAAATAAATCCAAAAATTTTTTTTTTTTAAATATCGATATGATCATATTGGTTTGAAATATAAGTACAGCAGAAATATAACTGCAATAAGAATAGTCAATATAAAAGAATAACAATAAAATTTGATTTGATTTTACATGTTTTTTTGAATACATATATAAATGTAAGAAGTAAACATAAAGTATGCATAAGAATCGAATAAATGAAGGACAGAATAGATCACATTTCACGGTTCGTTTTCAAAATAATATTTATTTAACGTTTATTTAATGTTTTTTAAACGTTCATTTGTAATAAATTTTACGTTTTATGATTCGTTTTCAAAATAAGATTTTTTAAACATTTATTTAATGTTTATTAATTAAGTTTTCGTTTGAAATAATCGAATCATTTGATAATAATTCGAAGGAACTTTTTTAAATGTTTGTTTGAAGCTTATTCTACAATGCGCTCTTTGTTTTCTGTTTCTTGCTTTTTACCTTTTGTTTTTTTCTCTTTTGCAACAGTTTTATCGACAATTATCTTTCTTGATACGTATTTCTTGTTTCTTTCAAAGTTAATTTTTATCTCGAGCGACATAAAACAAAAACCGAATAAAAAACAAGAAGACAATATGTAAGATATAATAAAAAGTAACAAGAAACAAAAAGCATATTGTAGAATAGGCTTTACGTTTATTAAATGTTTGTTTTACGTTATTTATTTATTTAAAATATGTTAAAAAACATTTATTTTACGTTTATCTGATGTTTAATATAAAAGTTAAAAAAATTGTATTATTTTCTAAAATTTAAATAAATAAAAAACGGGATAAAAAGATAAACATGGAAGAAAACTTAATCCAATATAATTGCGTTAAGTGTATCATTTATGGCAATAAGAACTGTGTCGACAATTATAAATAGCGTAACGGATAAGATATGAGACTTATCCGTTATAACCTTGAGATTAAGTTCAAAACCCGGTAAGTAAAAAAGATTAAAAAATTACTAAAAGATAAAAAATTATTAATTAATAAAATTGGTTGTCTAAAGTAAAATGTACTATCGATAAAAAATAATAAATTACAAAAGATTTATTCTGCGTTGTAAAACATTTTTTCTAATTTTGTTTAAATAATTTTAACATTTAAAAAAGGTTTTTTAACATTAAAAAAATGTTTCTTTTAAATATTAAAAAAATATTTTTTTAACATTAAGTAAACGTTTTTTGAAACGTTTAAATAAATGTTTTTTAGATGAAAAAATAGGGACAAATCCCGTTATTTAAACGTTTTTTTTTTCATTGGATAGCATTTGGTAAAACAGAAAATTAATTTTATAACCGATATTTTAGGTATATATAATATATGTATATATATTTTTATTTCAAAATTATTTGGCATGCAGATTGTATCTTTTGTAAAAATAATATTTGTGCAAGAACAGTTCTGAGAATCTAATGAGGAAAATATTCAACAGAAACATAATCTTTTTCCGTCGTATATTAATTTTCCTTATGCGCGTATACGTTGAAATATTGCATTCTGAAAAATATTCTTAAAAAAAAAAATTCATAATTTACATAACGTTGTATTAAGATTAAAAAAAACGACAAACGGTAAGAATGATTGTTCTTTATTACAATAAATTTTTATGATATATAATGATACAATAAAGATCTATAAATTCTATGTCCACAACCGAATGGCAAATGCAACTCGAAAATTACATAACGTTCGATTACACTGTACACTTTCTAATTTTAACATGCTCAGTCGCAATTCAATTTACATATAAGATTAAACCAAAGGTGCTAGAGTGAGGAAAATGGAAAGATATTTTCTTGATTCGCGCAAGAAAAATCACGGGTCTTTCCTCGTGTGGCGAGTAATGCGTCGCGATGAATGATATATTACAAAAAGAATCTTACAATAATAATTAGTAATACTTAACACAATGTACACGATACGTATTGGCTACATTATTACGTGTAAGATACTGCACGGAATGCAGCGAGATTGAAAATCTGTACTTATATAATACTTCGTTTCTTGCTAGCATTGTTTTGCAAATACACAATACCTCAGACTTCATTTTAATCATCATAAAATATGATCAGGATAAGGAAAATATGTAAATACTTCGTGGTAGATGATCAATAACGTTTTCAATGTCACATATATGGAAAAACGAATATATTTTATATTTAAACGTTTATTCCTTGTTCTTTACTGGAAAATAACATTGATTGCCCATATATAAAAAATACTGATATCAAAATAACCATTTCAAATCATACTCCTCCATCTACTCTACTTATGATAATATCAAATGGTTATTGAACGATTTGAAAATGGAGGAATAGATATTTTGAATTCAATATACATACATTTTCTTCCTTTATATACATATATTTTCTTCCTTTCATTTTTTGAATAATTTGATTTGATTGCTTTATAAAGCAATATTATAATATGATGATATTATGAGAAAAATATAATTAGAGAAACGAAGTTACCAATGTTCTACACAACACTGAATTACAACAACATTGCGGCAACGTTGTAATGTTACTACAATGTTATTAGAATATTGCAATGTTGTTGGAATGATTTATGCTGTAAGGAATGTGACTAACTGAAAAAAATTATATAATTATAATAATATAATATTATTTTTCCTCCAAGTCACAAAATAATGGTTGATTATAAGATGTCAATAATATTTTCATAAAAAATCGTCAATCTCGTGCTTTATTAAATAAAGTTTCATATTACATTATAAAATTTGCTCTGTCATATTTTTTCTTTTTTTCTGTACAACATGGCACGTCCTATCATACTGTTACTTGGTGCAGTTACATTACGGATCGCCGTATCCTGGTGACATATAATTACTGATTTCGTTCGATTGCTCTCAGTTTTTCACACTTGTAAAAGTTTCCGTTTACTTACTAGCTAAACTATGTACAAATCGTATTTTTCATGTATAAAAATTGAAAATAATTGACAATTCCCATCCCAAAGTCAATTTTTACTGATTCATTACAAGATGATGGCATAAGAGGAAAAGAAAAACACTTTGAATCTCTTTGTTCCTCTATTTTTAAGTAGAATTGCGTTCTTTTGTGATGGTTTAAATCCCAACGCAAGGCAAATTCATCGGCAGTAAAATAGGACAATGTAGCTTCGCTGTCGTTGTTTATTGCAAAGAAAGGAAAAATGCTAATCATTGCGATTTTCAAGTCATCGGAAGAAAGTAAAATAATTCATATCACAGTCAGCGGTTTACCGCACAAATATTTGGACCCGATTGCCCTAACGTCTAACAGTTTGAGCGACAAATAACTGATTTCTTCTTTGTCTACTCCCGCATTATGATCTATAAAGCAGAGATTAAAACAAAGATTATCATTAATCAGATTTATATCATGAAACGTTGTTGCAAGCTGGTCTTTGTAGCGGGACCGCTTAATTTTTATCTTTCTTAAGCGGAACACTTTACAAATATTAAAACATCTTGAAAAACATAAATTAATTTCTAACAAAAGTTACAAACATAAATAAAATTTAAAAAACATTGCCATTTCGAATATACATAAATCGTTATAATCTACATTTGAAATATTAAATTTGTTAATATTAAAATTTGTTACTACATTTGTTAATATTAAAATGACATGTTTAGTTAACATACATTTGAATTTATGTTTGTTACAAAAGGACATAAGAAGTTTATTATTTAATGACGTAAAATGTCATTAACTAACTTGTTCTGTATTTGAGAAAAGAAATAAAACAAAAAATATTAAAATAGTACGTATGTAATGTAAAATGTATTGAACGATTTTCTGATACATTTCAAGTATTCCGTTCGAAAATGTCTAAAACCGTTTTTGCCATTAAAATTTCAACAACGACCATGAATCTCTTCAAAATTCGCAAGTGATCGCTGTAGACTTTAATTTTTTTTATAGTTTGTGATATAACCTTTCAATTGTAAAATTTGATCTGTATTTTTAAGAGTACATTAAAAAATATCGTCATTGTGAATATTACCCACAGCGCAGAAGCTTGCAATATTGCTGCGATGCGATGTTATCGTATGGAATGATCTGTGCTGAATAGATAACTTTTAGGGTGCATAGATTGTACAAAAGTGAGTAATGAAAAAAGTGAGACCGATTTAAATTTATAAAGTCTATGAAGATCTACGTAATTTCAAAGAATTTAGATCGTAATAATACACAGAATCATTACAAAGACAAATGCAGAACAGATTTAATCAAAGAAGTAAAATTATTTGTATGTGTCGTTTTCTACATTTTTAATCATTTTATATGTATAAGGACTATATTTCGTTTGCAATGGCAAGGCCAAAAATGCATTAATACAGGCTTGAAGAAAAGCTGTTAAGCAAAAACAACATATTGACACTGTCGTTGCGAATTAAGTCCTAGAATGCTTCTTATATCCTCAAGAGCTAGTACGAAAAGTAATTTATTTACAAGCCACAAATGGCACATTAAGAATATCTTTGCACTACTTGTTCGCGAATATCATCATCGCACGATTTACATTTCCATTACGTCATTATAGTCTCTTTCGTTTTATTTATATTTCGTAATACGAGTCTCTAGCTTACGTCTAATCACAATCAAGCACGGCACTTGAGCGAAGTGTCCTTTATAAGTACAATGTGTTCTATACTCAGAAATTGAGTACTTGACGCTGTTAAACGAGGTTTTAATGATAAAGCATACCAATGTTTCTTTTTCTTCTAAGATTCAGCTTTTGTCCCAGGAAAGGTTATCAATATGATTATTCCTGATTCTATCAGAATCTTGAATTATTTTCGTATCCTCGATAACATTACTAAAATCACACCGTCGTTTCGTTCTTTCTAAAAGGTTTCAACGGTTGCAATTCCCGTTCCAATCGATCAAAATCATTGTAATATTCGTGATCCGATTCTTCTTCGGAACTTCGTTGCCTAATTTGAGACCCGAAGGTACCATTTGGCAGGACTTTCTCTAAGTCCGGTGTAGGAATACCCAAAGTTTGTGGCGTGAGCGGACCTTCGTCCTGTGACATTATATATTCCGGATTGTCTAGTGACGTCTTCCCTTGAATCGCTAGAAAGTCTGGATATTTTCGGAAGCCATTGTTCAATCGCTTTGTTTCGGATTCTGGATAAAATTAAAATAATTTTGGTTTTATAAAAAGCAGATGTACATAGACATATATACGAGTATAATATTTATATATAAATATTTATATATAATATATAATTATATATTATATATTTATATATAAATTAGCAATTATACATAAAATTATGTAGACATAAAAATATAAATTAATATATTGAAAGAACTCTCAAAGTTGTAATGTATCTATTTTTAATATAGATAAAATTGCTATGCATTAAACAATATAGATAAAGTTACTAAAAATAATAGCAAATTTATAGTTTAAACTCACCTGTTGGCTTAGAATCCCCAATGAGATCTATATATTGCGTCGCATTGACTGACGGTTGTGGCGTCGGCACGAGATAATCATTTTCATCTATTGGCAAATCTAATTTCAAGTTTCCAACTTGAGCTTGTTGTTGCACGACGTTTGTATTAAAACAATCATCCGTAACATCGCAATCTGTAATTTACCATTGCTTCATTAAATAAATAATTTATTCCGTAATGTTCATATTATTCGATTCAATATCAATCACTGTCACAACCAGAGAGATTTCATTCGATTTTTTTCGCAATTAACATTTTGCTTACCTCTAACACCGACCATCTTCAATGGATCCGAACAATATCTCGAACTTGAGCTATCTGATCCTGCGACGTGTCCACAGTGACCATTGGGATGTACGTAATGCGCACGTTGACCAGAATTGCCAGCCTCATGCGACGCGTTTCCACTCTCATGATTTCCATACCTCAAAAGTTCTCTGTCCCAGTTTTGCTGATTTTGTGGCGTCGGAGAATCAGCGGCGAGCGGCTTACCGTTCGGCCAGCACGATTTTACTGGTGTATTTGGCGGCGAACCGGAAGTACTTGATGCGGAAATTGTGGGTGGAAGTGGAGCCCGTGACTTAGGTTGTAGGTACTCACCAGCATCTAACAGAGTTTCAGGACCATCCATCGCTGATGCAAGATTTCGAATCATCTCCTTTTCGTCCTGCAAATTCGCATTAATAGTTGAAACAATGCTAAACTATATTATTAAAACTGTTAAATAATTAAGTAATAAATAATTAAGTATAAAAAAGTATGTTAATAAAAAGATTATATTATAAAGATATGTTAGGAATGTGCTAATTTTATTATGTTAATAATTAGAAATTGATTAGATTATTACTATTAAGATCGCTATCTAATATATTTTAGTTTGAGTTGTATAAAAATGTACGAAAATTGATATAAATAGTTTGAAGCATTATTGATAATTATGATGCTAGTTATAACACTAACGAAATGAATTATATAACTTTAATTAACTGATATCAATATAATTATCTTCAGTAATAAAAAATATGTTTTACATATAAATAAATATTAATTACCTGTAGTGTATACGAAGGCAGTCTCATGTACTTATCTCCTTTAATGGCAAGATATCGACCAGGATCTCTGGACATTTTTGCGAAATCCTCTGCCAGTTCTTTGAAGCTAGGCCTGGATTCAGCGTCAAGCATCCAACACTTAATCATAATCATATATACATCAATCGTGCAAATCGCGGGCTGTGGTAATCTTTCGCCCTTTTCCAATAATTCCGGCACATTTCGAGCAGAAACATTTTCGTACGGTCTACCACCATAGGTGAGGACCTCCCAAATGGTCACCCCAAAGGCCCATACATCCGATTTATGATTAAATACTCTATGCTGAATGCATTCTAATGCCAACCACTTGATAGGCATCTTCCCACCTGCAGCCTTATATTGTTCCTCGTTAATATCCAATAATTTAGCAAGACCAAAATCAGTGATTTTCACGCAATTTGGAGTTTGGACGAGGACATTTCGCGCTGCCAAATCTCGATGAACCAATCTTCTCTCTTCCAGATAGGCCATACCTCTCGCAATTTGCGTGCACCAATTTAACAATGGTTTTGAACCAATTTTATCCTTGTATCTGCGTACAAAATCCAGTAGACAGCCTAGAGGCATCAGCTGAGTCACTAACATCATCTGCGACGTCATGCATACTGCAAGTAATTGCAGTAGATTCGGATGTTCGACACTAGCCATAATGTAAGCCTCGTCGAGAAATTCTTTGGATGTGTTCGCACCCGTACCATCATGAAGAACCTTTATAGCAACTGGGATCTTTACGTTCTCTCCTTCGGGTACCCAAACGCCTTTGTACACATTGCCGAAAGCACCGTAACCCAATATACCGCCTTTTCTCATCTCTTCTTCCTTGATAATTCGTAGTTTAGCGAGATTTGGTTTCACACCTGTCGGTCGAAGCGGTTCATTGTCGTCCAAACCAGTTAAAGCCATCGTCATCTTCACTGTATTCTCCTTAGCTTTCGTTCTTACTCGCCATAAATATAGTAAAACACCGATGATAATAATAAACACCATTAATACGATCCCAATGCCACCCCAAACTGCTGGATGAAAATCGTTTTCCATTTGATAACCGAGGCCTATAGTTTCTACGGAGCAGTACGGCTCGCTATCAGGAGGAAAGATCTTGTGAGGATATTCTGGTGGACAGGTCTCCGTGCAATTAAAGGATGTTATATTATCATCAGAGTCGTCTATCCTATCCTGAATATATAAATTATAAAATTAATTAGTATACAAAGCATGTTATTATAAGCAATACTTATTAATTATTATACATATATATTATGTGTACGTATATGATTATGTATTTTACGCATTTAATAAAAAAGATTATATTTGTAACATAATATTATTGTCTACGTACAATGTAAATTTTATAATTCCGGCATTTGTAACACTGATTAGAGCCTGATCCAAAGCATCCTCGGCACTCTCCGAAACACGATATACATTGCTGCGTGTCAGCATCCGCGAAATGATCAGCAGGGCATTCATCTTCGCATTGCTCTCCTTTCTTATACTTGGTGCATTGTTGACACACTTGCTCGTGGAAGCCATATCCTGTGCATTTTTTGCAACGTGGGTGACACTTGCGACAGACAGCTTTTCCGGCAAGAGGTTTTAAAAGACCTTGCTCCAACTGATCAACCCACTCGTAATAATGCCCTGCAAATTTTATAATAAAAATGTTTTTTATGCATGACATAAATATTTTTTATAACACACTATGAAAAACTGTGTAAATATTACCTTATTGTTACAAAAATATACTATAATGAATTATTTTCTACTACTCTGTGATATTTAATTCACTATTATTAACAACTATTATAGACCGAATGAAATAATAACAGTTTTCAATACATATATTTACACTTACAATTAGTATATAAATATTTTCAACTTTTTCTTGTTACAAAATATTTATATGTTAATACAAAAATTATGAAACAAAGTTATCGTATAACTTACCATCGGGACACGGTTCTCTCTTCTGCAAACATCTCTCTGGTATTTCGTCGTTCATAATTGCCTTTTCGCAACTATAACATCCGTTGGCGCCTATGTTATTCTCTGGTCCCTTGCAACCGCCCACGCAATTCTCGTGGCACTGTTTACATTGGCCGTTGTCATTGTACTTCGATGATGGGCACTCGGGCACACAGAATGGTCCATCTCGCACGTGTTTGCACTTAATGCATTGGTCGGCATTAGGACCAGTACAGGAGCTATAAGATGTGTCGCATTCTTCGTGACACATTTTACAGGTTTTATTGTCCGCTTGATAAATCCTAATAACACAATCGTAATCAATTATTAATCGACATTGAAATGTCACGTAAGGAAGTAGATAATATGTAAAATTAAAAGCAAACAAACAAGATCAGAATAATGGAAAAAGAATATAGCATGAATAATTAACAAAAAAAAACACAGCACACGTAAAAAATCATTTAAATATAATTAATGTTCAGATTGTTTGTCACTCATGCCATTCGCGCTTTTAATACAAATGCAAATTAAAGCGGTTACGAGGAGAATGCACGTGCTGCATAATACACACGTAACTTGCTTACGAGATGGATAATGATGAAAAAAAACGGCGAAAATTGGGGCTTAAGTTCTCGCGGAAGATTTTCGATTTACCTTCAATCCATGATCTAGGGGAGCAGTTTCAATTGGACAGAAGTCGTATTATTGAAATTTTCAACTTCATATTATAAAATTCTATGTTTGTTGACTTACCCTGGCGCATTGCAATCTTGAAGACAGTCGTTCCCTAAAATAACGTTCTTACACGACAAACATTGTGATGGTCCCGGTCCCCAACATCCTTCATCTGAACATTGCTCGTCACATATGAAGCCATCCTCAACTGCAATTCAAATATTCAAAATAAGTAAGATTTTAAAAGATTTTAATAGGTATATAATTTGCAGAACAAGAGAAATAGGTACAAAAAAAGTCATGCTAAAATATTAAACATCCACTTTTGATCGTGTAAGATATTTTTCCATTTAAATATTTATGTTATTCTTATATTGATCTAATTTCGTTATTGTTAAATAAATGCTGTCCAAATAATGTAATATTATTAATAATAATTTTAATTTATATTGTTCAAAAAATAAAAATAAGAGCTCACAAAATAAAATTTGTTATAATGAATATGCCTCACAAACACAAAATACATTTAGAATATCTGTCTACAATAAAGAATTGGATTTTAAATTAAGAGAAACTAGACTTGCATATTTATCTCTTTATTATACTTACTGCAATCGGTTTCGTTTCGATTATTTGATAAAAGACTTTCATGTTCGGATGATTTTTTAATTCTGGTCCAATTGATACTTTCTGCGTAACATAGATTTTTGTTCTCCAGAATAGCGATCGAGCCGGAATAAATCTTCTTCAAGGAACTAAGACCGAAGGATATTAAAGAAGTCTTGACGATGTATAACGATGCAAAATATTCCGTGAGCGTTCTACCTCCAATCACCTCGAGGTTCCGAAAATACGAAAGGTTCTTGAAATCTTCATGATCTCCTTGAATATTAAGATAACCCGTAATCTCTTTCAATGTTTTGAAGACTTCTAAGTCATCAGGATGCATCTTGTCATATCGTTTGCCGAATGAGTAGTTTTGAAAAACATGTTGAAAACCTTCGAAACTCTGATCCAGAATTGTGATGGATCCTTCGATGATGGTACAATCCTTGAAGGTATCGATATTACCGGAATGCACTTTCTCCACACCTTTGCAGGTTTTTGGACAAGGACCGTCGCAAGGAACACATTCGCCATTCACCGCTTTCTTTTTCAGTGGACAAGATCTCACGCATGCACCGTTGTCCTTTAAAAGATGTTCTGGACATCGTCTTACACAAGTCGCCCCGTACGCGTACTTTCCGCCCGGATTGGTTTCCCATGAATATGTTGTTGGATTATATCTAAAAAAATTAAAATTAAAATATTATTATATTAATTTTCTTACTAATTTCATCATATAAATAATTTGTGCTATAAGTAAACTTTATCTCAGTTTTTTTCATATCAATTTATTATTTAGAAAAATTTAAAAGAATATTATTGTTCAATAAATTGTGTTAAAAAAAATTAAAATATTTTTACGTATTAGGTGTTGGAATTAATTCGTAGCGTTTTACAAGTGATGGGAAGTACTTTCATTAATGTATTTTTTAATGCTCATGTGAAATAAATAACATTCTTTCATTTAAAAACGCTACGAATTAATTCCAACACCTAATATTATAACAATTTTCGCGGTATTTTATATTAATCTTGTATTAAAGATATATAAATATATAATGTGACTTACTTTTGCATAGGCGGACATTCCTGTGTGCATACGCCATCGTCGAAGAAGTTTTTACAGGCAAGGCAGTCGCTCTGTTTGGGACCCGTACAACCACCCGCGCAAAAAAGATGGCAACATTCGCGTGGATTAGGACCGAAGCATCTGCCCTGCCAGCACTGAGGCGAACAATTCGTTTTCGAGAACTTTTGACAATTCTCTGGACCTTCGCCCCAGCAGCCCTGCTCGCAACTCTCGTCACATGCTGCACATCCGCGTTCCGGTGTTGTAAAATTATACACATAAAAATATCGTCCTCCTTGGCCTGTGATTATTTCCTCCCAATTGATAGTCTTGATGTGGCAGAGATTGTAGTTGTTGTACATGCCCACGCTCCCATTGAGTATATCTATGACGAAATCAATCGCGGACAGTTAGATATTATCGCAATAGAACAACAGTTTGTCTTAAATTTCACATTTAATTGTTCAATCGACAGTATTATTTTTAAGTGATAATTTATTGAGTAAGAAATATATTAAATTTGGATATTTTAAACTTAAAATTTATATTTAATTGTTAAAATGTTTTTATTTATTTGTATGTAAGGTAATAAATTATAAATAAATTATAAATTATACATGTAAATTAGGTATAAATTATCAGTTTTACTTATTATTAGCAATAAATAAATATGCAGAGATATTTTTTAGAAATGCATCATTTATTACTAACTTCAATCCAGTCATGTCAATTTGAATAATGTCTAAGATATAATAGATATTAATAAAATATAAAGTAAATAACGTACCTCTAAGGGATGGCATCTCCAGGTTGTGCATCTGACACATCGTAACAAAGAGGGCGAATTCGTGGTCGTGTATATTGAGTTTGAAAAGGGTCCTGCCACGGATGATCTGTAGGCTCGGGAGGACGAACCTGCGCACGTCCACGTGACTGATGAGCACGTAACCGGTGACCTCCCGTATGTGCTGAAGGAAGCTGAGGTCGAAGGTATTGTTTTGGAGCCATGTGATCTCCAGGTTGCCATCGACGTAAGTACAGTTGGTGTACCGGTCTCGAAGATTCCGGTAGTGATGTAGTTTGTTGGACGGCACGGAGAGACGGCCATTTGTACCGATGCAAACTACAAGCAAAGTAATTAACATATATAGTTACATGTGTAAATTTATGTAAACATTAAATTGTACATACAACAAAATAGAAAAAGATTATTTACATCAATTATTATTCTCTTTATTATTTTTCTATTAATTTATTAAAATTATAAAAAAATCTAGGAAAAAATACTCATAATAATAGTAATAGTAATATAATTATATTTTAATTACATTATTTAAAAAATAAATATATATATTTATTAAAAATATTATTATTCTTTAGTTTAATATCTACTTTTAATTGCTATCATAATTTATCATTACATACACAAGTATTGTTTAAATATTCCATGTTCAAATTGATATTAAAGTTATGGCTGTATTCAAGGAGTGGCGCTCAATGTTATTACATCATTCTATTCTTGTTTTATGTCTAATAAACGATAAAGATAGAATGACACATAACGCTAATAACGCAGTCTTTGAACGCAAGCTATAAATAATGATCTAACGGTATTTATTCATCAATATGTATTATAAATTGCATGCAACAATATCTTCTAAGCGTATATATATTTTAACACAGTAAGTTTATTGAGCATTCGAATAACGGTTCAGATTAAAATCAAATATTGAGATTAGATGCGGATTTTCTGTATATAGAAATCACATGTAATTAATTTCCGATTACGATAGTTTGTGGAGATACCACCCACAGTCAAGAATATATTCCCGCGACCTATAGATAGTGTTCTATCCATGAAGCGTGTTATATTGGTGAGCAAACTACCTTTATGAAATGCAGTACACGCGCCGTCATGATTTCGTTGTGCAATTACGTTCTTGAGTTGACTGTGAGTTGAGTGTTTAAAGGCATTGTATGTATACTTCGTGTATAAATTATGGTAAACGTTTGTGATTTACAAAATAAAGCAAGGAATTTTATTTTTGTAAGCTAGTAGCTTGTATTTTTGGCAAAAATGATTGTTTAATAGTAAATCCGCAAGAATTAATATTAACATTGAAAGATATCCGCATGAATTTTACATAAATTACTTTCGTATACAAAATAAAATAAATTTCCTTCTTTTGATTTTTCTTTTGAAAAGAAAACGCTAAGTTTTTATTTGGCCAGACTTTGTTAGAGGGGGAAATAAGTAACGTTTGTTATTGTAGAATATGATTGTTGCCTTGCATTGTAGATTATGTCTTATGCCTTCATATATGCTAATAAAAATAATTAATTTAAGATAGATATTGTTTATATAAATTTTGTGTAAATCAAACGCTAAAATTTAATAAAATAATAAAATATATTAGGTGTTGGAATTAATTCGTAGCGTTTTACAAGTGATGGGAAGTACTTTCATTAATGTATTTTTTAATGCTCATGTGAAATAAATAACATTCTTTCATTAAAAAACGCTACGAATTAATTCCAACACCTAATAATTTTTATATCTGTAAATCTACATTTAATTAAATCACAGATATTTTTATTAAGCAACTAAGATTACATTAACATAAAACATATTTATTACATGTAAAAATCTATGAACCTTTATCTTACATTTATTTTATTAAAAATAATTATAAAAAGAATTCTGGATAAAAAATCAAATATTTAAAATAATTAAATTAATACTTTTTATTATTGTATATAATTTTAATTATTGTTTCGTAAAAAAATTTTTTTAAGGAGTACTTACTTCTTTTATCATTTATTTTATATTTCTACATGTATTATTTAAATTACACCTATAACAAAAAATCAAGATACTTTACAGAAATATTTTCTTATTAAGTATTATTCTTCCTACAATAATTTTCAATAATTATGACATAATCATAAATATCGCAAATAATGTAATATAGGAATTAACCGAATAAATAAATTCTCCTTAGCACGTAAAAACGTTCATATAGAAAAGAGCCCAAGGCTTTATTAGATAGCTTTGCGCAAATTTTTTGCGAAGCAAAGAAACAATCGCCGCTGTGGAGAGCATAGTGACACGTTCGCTCCCCCGGAATTTGGTTTTGCTCGCAACTTGAATCGCACTCGCATCTTCGTGGACAGTTCGCAAACGAGTGGCCGCGATCGGCACGCGGTACCGAAAGGGCGGTCTTAATCTGACCGGCGATCGGAATCATGCGAAAATAATTGCGCGGTAAGGACGTCCTTCTTGCGCGAGATACCCGGGGAGATGTACCGCAGAAGAAGATTCATAGTCGTTGCCGACAATGTCGGAGATCGTGGACTAAAGGAGGGAAAGAACCGACGGAACAAACGCGAACCCGAGTACCTATGTATTTGTATCAACCAGATGCTACTGAGAGTCGCGGGATACCGAATGCACGTACTGTGGCATGGCGCCAGGATCCTCGAGAATGCAGACCGAATGTGGATCTGCATTAACGATGGGATCACGTAGGTTTTCTGTCCTACGTGTCCCACAAACTCAAATCGCATGGAAGATGAACGACTTGATCATAATGAAGAGGTATGGCAAATATTTGTCGAAATATTTGTCCTACGATTTTGTTCATCGAAGAAAGATTACCATTGTAAAGATTTATCATATAACATAGAGATTTTTAGTTAACAAATTTAGAGTTAACAAGTAAAGCATTTTTTTCATAGTTCATGTTACAGAATCGTAACGGATACTTTAAAGCATACCAATGATGAGATTTATCAGATTTTCTGTGAATATGTGTTGAAATATCTGTCCAATAATTCTTTGAATACGAAAAAAAATATTCCTGTATAAAGTAAAAAGGTTTATGAATTGATAAATAGGAAGAATTTTTGCTTTGATATAATTTTCATAGAAAATGCTGTTATGTTTCAAATTCATATATACTTACTAGAATATTAATTAACAAAGATAGATGTTTATGTTCGTATTCTTGATGTTATATGAAATAAAAATATGTAAGAAAATACATAAAGAGCGACTTGTGTTCACTCGACTTGGAAGTGGCGATGAATCCTTTTCAACGATATGATTCTCTCTATATATTCTTTATATATATCGTCGATAGAATTTACTATTTTATAATAAAGCCAAGTTTTTCGCTTTTCTTTTAGGTTTGCAAAGTTTAACATTTCAATTACGTTTAGATTATGATTAGAACTTTACAAATAATAAATCATAAATAAGAGAATTAAAATAAGTCTAAGTTTGTATCTCATATAACATTATTGTTTATACGTAATTATCATTGCTAAAAAAGAACAATGTATTGCGTGACTAACATTTTTAGAGCTAATTGTATCGACAGATGTTATCCAGGATAACGAATTATGACCTAGACCGAAATATGAAGCGATTCGAACCGACACGTCGAGAAGAACTTATGGACGCTCTGGCGTGCTCGGGGGAAGGTGGTCCGATAAAAAGGAACACCACAAGTGTGATGGCTGCACGGACGTTTAGACAGGAAGAAAGTGGAAGTTCGCCGAGAAGTGTCGGTTAAGGTCGACGGGCAGACACGTTCCTCGTTCTTGTTTTCCAAGCTCCGAGGCTTGCTCACCCGCGCAGCACGAAATTCATCATTAGATCCTTGAGCTGGGATACACCTCGGCAGAAACGTGGTGATTATCCCCGACGGCGGGGCTGCGAAAATTGCCGGTGAGAGCCGTTTGTTCTCGCGCGTAGAATTAACATTCTGCCAAATTTACGACGCTTGCATCGCAGTTCAAGACAATGGCGGTGATATTGATTACGGGCGTGGCGCGAATATCACCTTCTTCTCCATTATCTAACAAAGTTCGCAGGAAACCCAACCTCTAGAACTGCAAGTGATTATTGTAGTTTGATATTAGAAGTAATATATAATCGTAATTAAGATATTAATTTTATTCGCTGAGTGGATATTTCTTAATCGCTTAGGAAAAACATTATTTAGTCACAAATGGCCATTTATAAAAAAATTAAGAAAAATATGAAAGAAAAAAGAGATACAGATTCTTAATTTAATTTATACTTTAAAAGAATTCCAGTATAAATTAACAAGAAGTTCTTTCACGTGTAAAGAAGATGTTTATGCCTAACAGTTACACAAAGAGAATGACATCAAAAGAAAAATTTTAACTTTCAAGTGTAGGTTTAAATATGAATGATAAATTTAACAAAAATCACGAAATATGAGTAAGGAAGACGTATAGGATGTAAAGAAACAAGTGCCGGTAGGACGTGACACCGAAAAATCCCGCGGTGAGGCTTCTTTTGTGAACACGAAAATAGTATGTGCGTTGCACTGAGCCATACATGGTTCTTCGACCACCTTTTGGAAGGAGAACATCGAGAGATTTTATGCGGCACTTTAAAATGCCCCCTTCTCCATTAAAGTCCCAAAGTAATACGAAATAACCGCATGTCGATGACGACGGCGGCAGCGGCGCCGTTTATTTGAGCTCGTAAACATCGATACTGTCGAGTCTCACAATCCCCACCATCAAAATCGTTTCTGGGTGTTAAGGCCCTTCTTTCCCCCTTCTTTCTTTCTGCTCCCCCTGTAAAACGGAGCCCTGCGGCTAAATGCCCGACGAAATAAAATCCGGGTATCGTAAACGCGCGAAATAACTATTGGTTCGAACTGCTCGAAGAAGAGAAAAAGAAGAGAATTCAAGGTGAGAAAAGATTTCGGAGTAGGGATAAAAAGAGAAAAGTTGTGAGTGAGAGAGAGAGAGAGAGAATAATTTATTATTTTGAAGGAAATGGGTGAAATATCAAAATAAATAAGTAAATAATTGTACAAAACATAATAAAACTGAACTAATGAATAGTCTCTAACTTAATGAATAATAAAGATTAAAGAAAAATTAAAAATACAAGTATAAAGATATGATAAATCTTTCGCTTTTTCAAAAAATTTAATAAATAGAAAAGAGGAAATAAAATTTTATAGTGGATTTTATTGTAGGAAGCGGACTGAATATAAAAAGAAAAAATAGAAGACTGTAAAATTTGAAAGGAGAAACAATTTAAGATCAAATACTGTTGAACGGAAGAGTAATAGA